AAAAAAATGTACGGATCTTTAAAAAAATGTACGGATTGGTTTAAAAAAATGTACGGATTGTACGGATTTTTTTAAAAAAAATTGTACGGATTGTACGGATTGTTTTTCGAAAATTGTACGGATTGTACGGATTTCTTCTGAAAATGTACGGATTTTTGTACGGATGGGTTCAAAAAAGTTTTGGCCACCCTGCAGATAAACAGAGATTACAACTTTATATATATAAAGATAGAAGATAGATAAAGTAGTAATCTCTGTTTTGGTGATTTTTTTGGATGTCCAATCATAACTCATGAACCCCGGACCGATTGGCCTAAAATTGATTATTGGGGAACTCGTTAGAAACACGGGTTTAAAAATTCTAGATTGAGTGGGTTAACTTTTATAGGGAAAACTCCAGACAAAGCTGGGTTCCCAAGCTAGTAGGACATAAATCTCTGGAATAAGAAAACGACTGTAATAATAATACTCAAGTCATGATATTTAGCAGTCCAATGGGTGTGCAGTGTATACAAACCCATCTCACCTAATAAGCTGTCATTCAAGGTACTGTAAAACTATTTGCTTTATATCAAACGCAAATAAATAAGAATCACATATGTATGTACAATGTACATATATATTGTATAACGCAAATATGCATATATATGTTAGCCATCGCTGGCCAACGGCCGAACCAAATCGGCTAAGCTTTTTTGAGGTAACACAAATCAAAAGGGTACCATGGGGAAAATCCAATTTTTTTATTCCACGGGCAACGCCGGGCACTTCAAGCTAGTTTCAATAAAGCTCGAAATAATTTTCCGCTCTTACCTCGGTCTATGTACTTCTTCATCTTCTTCATCTTCTTCATCTTCTTCTTCACTGTTCTCTTCATTAAAGGATTCATCGTATTTTATAGGACGCCTTCTTCTAGTATAAATAATAAAAAACAATAAGATGATAAAATCTAAAAATCTAAAAATCTAAAAATCTAAAAATCTAATATTATTAAATGTTTTATAAAACTGAATGTGATACAAGGTTTGATTTATTACCTATGGTTTGGTTTGGATGTTCCCTCTCCAGGATCTTCTTCATCACTCTCTTCCTCTTCATACCGTTGTTTCCTTCCCTTCCCCTGAACCTTCTTCTTCTTTGGTGTTGCACTCGGACTCTTCCCTTGCTTCTTGAGCATCCCCAACCTTCGGTTCATGTTTCTCCAATCCTTTATCACAGCCTGAAATCTATCCTGGAAATCTAACTTGAGCCGCTTGGTCATCTTAACCACGAGGGACTTTTTATCCGTGTTGTATTTCATGGAGTTGATAAATACTAGTTCAACATCATCCCTAAATTCATGAGGGTTTCTGTACTCTCCTACTCTTAGAGATTCACGAACTTGGGACAGATCCATGGGCGTTGTTATTATCCTGGAGTAGTCAGGGAAATCTATCTCTGACACGGGTTCCCGGAACGGCTCTGAATCCGGATTCTCCAACAGCTGATGGAGTAGTTCGTTACAATCATGCTTCCACTGCTTGGGATTGACCGGAGACTCTGAGGCTGATTTTTTACGAGACTTTACCGCTCTCCCAGAGGGTTTGGTTGCTTTAGGTTCCTGGGTATCTTCCCACTTAAAGTTATCCACAAGTCTATGATACTCTCTGTTGATGTCTTCCAGCTCTGGATCCTGGATAATTCTTAACACAAGATCAGTGAGAATCCGAGCATTTTTTACAATATCAGTCTTTGGTCTGTTGTAGCATTCAGTATTAGTGGCGATGTATCTAACATCGAATTGAACTGCGGTGATCCTACGGTAGAACTGGTTGTCCAGCCTGGATTTGATCAAGCTAAAATCTATAGGATATTCAATCTCGAGCATATAATCAGGGTATTGGGTGAGATCTACAGGATAGTTGAACGGCTCTGCTATAGCCAGAACCATCACCTGCTCTAGTCCTGCTGAGATACGGATACATTCAGTCTTACTGTTCAATCCTCTCCATTCCTCCTCCAGGGGCTGGTAGAGAAACCGTTCTATCTCATCCCGTGTTACAGGCATACTCTTGATCATTTTCTCATAGCCTGCAAGAAAGCTTGATGGATCATATGCGTCATTTTAAAAAATATTTATCGATAGCTAAGTTTGTATTGAGTTGGGGTTATAAATCATCATTGTAAGTTTTAATTTTAAAGAAATTTTCCGAACGAATGAAAAGCTGTGTCGGTTCTGGCCCTCTATTAATATTATACTTGCAGTCGAAAAGTGATAAAATAGAGAACTTGTGAAAGTGAAAATACACATTAAAAAATCAAAGATTTTAAACAGAAAAAACGAGAAAATCAAATTTCATAAAAGAATTTTTAAAGGAACTGAACACACGCCACGAGATCTCGTTTTCTAATTCCCATATCTTTGCTACATGATGTCGTAGACAGAAATAGAAACAGTTGAGTTTTAAATACCAAAGGGTTTGTGGCGCGTGCTAAATTCCTTAGTAGTAAGTAAAATATTCACCTGGATCCCCCTCCTGAACCGGATCCAAATCCCAGGGTGAGAGTCGCTCCTCCTCTCCACTATCCCAGGAACACTTAATGCTAAGGAACGGACTCTCTGGTATAGACATATTAAACGGACTCACCTAAAACCAGAGGTATAGTGTATATATTTAACAATGGCTAAAGATGTTGTTTATTTTTTTCCATCCCCCTTCCCCGTCCAAATAAAAATTATGTTTCTCGCTTAATTTTAAGTTTTAACCCAGCTAGTTCTTGTTTTTTTTTACCAACCAAACTTTTTAGAGAAAAAAGTGCTGAGGTTAAAACGCTTCTTAAGGAAGACAATGTTAACATTCTAAATATTATTATTCAGTTTCCAAATTCCATAATCTATTTGGAAAATTAAACATTTCTCTCAATCAAATCCTATCCAACATGTAGCTGTCAACTCTAAAAGTTTAGTTATAATAAAACAGAATTCTGGATTTCCAAAAACTTGCGAAAGAAAAGTAGTGAGGAATTTTTTTAAGGAAATAGAGAAATAGAAAACTTGTAAAATCATGTAAATCTTTACAGTAGGCTACAAAAACAGTCGTTTAGCAGGATTCAAATAACAACTACAAGAAGAGCGTAGTGTGGCAAAAAAATTTGTCAAATAGTCGATAACCATTTTTAAAATTGACAAGAGCAAAGATAAGATAACAAGAATGACTACGATTTTGTCGCGTACCACTTACTGCAAAATTTGAAGAAAAAAAAATATTTAAAAGAAATAATTAAATGGGTTACCTCTACTACAGTACCAAACCACCAGGAATCCTCAATTTGACATCTATATCTATCCCCAGGTTTCCATTTCACCTAAACTTTGCAATTTAACGGATTGTTCAGATATTTGTATTTAGTTTGAGGTACCAATTATTAAAAGGTTATGACTATATTTGCATATTGTATATTTTGTTCAGTTTTTCGTCGTTGATAAAAGTTTAGATAGTTATGCAAGTTACAACTGTAAAAAAATAACTGTCTTTCTTGTGGATAAACTTAGTCTTTGCTATCTTCTTCACCCCGTAATTCATAAACATGATTCTAATAAGATATGTTACCCTCTGTTACAACCCTTCCTCTGAGTACCCACCCTTTCCCTTATACTTTCTCACCCCCTCCTTACCTTATTCATGATTTATCATCATTTTTTACAATTATTTACAATTCTTATTCGCTTATAATGGGTCAACCAATCAAAACAACCAACTCTGGTTAGGCGGGTCCAAATTACATAGTAAATTGTGATTTCTTATTTGCATTATCTCGTTGATCTAAAACTGTTATAAAATTATTGTGATTACAGAAATTGCTAGGCTAAAATAATATTTAAACCCTGTCGTTTTATGACTAAGAAGTTTTATCATTAAAAAAATATTTTGGAAGATTTCTGATCCTGACCTGAATTGAAGTTTCATAATTATGCCTGAGCACAAGAAAATCCACAACATCATTCATATCATGATACTTGATACTAAAGTTGTCCCCAGTTAGCTCATTAGCCTCGGGGTCCATGATTGCGAGCTTAAGACAGCAGAGACGAGGAGGACGTATCTCATGTTTCATCCCGATAACCTTGACGAGCTCGACATCCTTGATGTCTTCCCTCTGAAGCCACTGCTGCTCCCTCATGTTCAACCTGTATGAATTCCTGTTCTTTACGAGGTTGATGTACCCTATATGACCCTGCTTGATGTACATAACCTCGTCTCCCATCTGGGGAAAGTATGGAGACTTGTTGGGAACATATTGCGCCAACCAGTCACTGGGTAGATATTCTGGGGGAATATCATCCAACTGGGTTGGATTAAAACTGTAGTTTTTCTTTTTATTCATCTTTGCGCTGCGGCTTGGACCAGGTTTCGAGGTTGAGGGACCAGGTTGAGGTTGACCGGGCTGTACCGGCTCTCTATCTCGACTCGTTCCCTCGTCACTGCTCGCGGATTTACTGCCTACTCCTCCGGCACGACCTAAAAAGAATAGTTTTGCAAAGATATCTTTACGTATATTTCAAAGCCTGCAAAAGAATTGAAATGACGAGAGCTCGAAACTTTTTTATTGGTGGAAAAACTTAGCAGGGTTGGGATAAAAACCCCAATAAACCCCACTTGTTAGTGGACTTTTTTGGGTTTTAAAGAGGTTTTTTAAATTTTGTGTAATAGAAGTAAGGTCTACTCAAATCAAATCAATTTAATTGATTTTTTGGAGTTTAAAGCAGAAAAACTGATACATCTAATTATTTACTAAGACTTAAACTAATGATCTTAACAAAATAAATATTGTTCGCATATTGAGTTATTTCAAAACAAAATATTGAATTATCAAGACATTTTCTGGTTTTAGACAGACAAATCCTACAGTGGTCTTCCTTCTTGAGCAAATATATCTACCAATTTATCTGAGTAGGCCCACCCACAAAGGCCCAATCAGAAATAAGTATCCAAGTGAGAAAATAGAATTAGTCTGAAATTTATAGAACTACATTATCAAAAAATTGCAATATTCCCTTTATGAAGGCTTCTATGAAGAAGGAAGGTGATATGATTGTATTTGAAGAGTAATTATATATGTTTATAGCCTAGATATTATCACAACAATATTATTATATTTCATAACTATAAAGTTCGCCTATTGCTTAAATAGTCTTATTATTATGAATTATTATGAACTTTAGTAGGTCTTAACTACTTTCAAATTAAAAAACCCAAAAACCAATAAAACCCACTGGGCTTTTTTAGTTTTTTTTTAAACCCGGGTTTTTTCCAACCCTGAAACTTACGAGCTTAAACCGCCTCTCTTAACTGCAATCTTTATCGTGTTTGACCCGATTCTAAGTTGCAATCATTGGTAAAAGTTTGGAGCAGTCTATTTTTCCAAGGATATCATTTGAAAAACCACAAAACAAAATTCTTAAAGTTTTCTCTTACCTGACTTTCTAGCAGTACGTTTAGGTGGTGTAAGATTGTTGGCTCCCCAGTCACTGTACTCTGTACTACTGCTACTAGAACTATCCCCACTCTTAAACAAACAGAATTTAGATAATAATGAGAAATGAAATATTTCCTGAAAAGTTAAGGAGTGAAAAAATGTTACACGATTAATAACAAGTGTCTAATGTGCATATTTTGATTAATTTTCTAAGTTATCTATATCTTAAATGAATAATGAAACACTTTATGTCCTTGGACAAAAATTAGAAAACCAATTGTACTTCACATTGCACAATGTACAAATCAGAAAAACCCGACTTGTCAAGTAGTTTAATTATTATTTTTAAAGGGAGTGACCGGCTTTGTAAGGTATTTGAACTGAGTATGCAGTGTTGTGGAAAGCTTCTTCTTCTTTCGGATTCATTTGAGACATATTAAACTTTTTAAAGATCTGTAAATCCTGAGTTTGAGCGCAAATTCGACGTTCAAAACTCATACTTTGGGGGTGGATACGTTTTCAGAATTAGTTTTTTTTTTAAATATTAAATAACGACAACGAAAAATAAAGTAAAAATTATACAGTAGTCTAATTAGATGGTTAGGAACATATTTCTCAAAAGAAATTTGTCAATAAATCAATGCTCAAATCGATTATTTGGTTTTCTTTATTATATTGAGTTTATAATTTTCTTAGAATTTATTCACAGATTTCTTCAAATTCTTCAAATCTCGTCTTTTCAATAATAATTCTAGAAAATCTGCGAAAATCTTTGTGAATAATGAGAAATCAGAATAATGAGATAATGGAAACTAATAATTGAACAAGATTACTTATTTTCGATGATAAGATTAATTTTTATTTTCTCAACATGTTCCTTTAACATGAAGTCTGTAGTTTATTGTAGAACTTTTTAACATTTAATGTCGACGTTATTTAATAATTTAAAAAAACTAATTCTGAAAACTTATCCACCCCCAAAGTAGGAGTTTTGAACGTCGAATTTGCGCTCAAACTCAGGATTTACAGATCTTTAAAAAGTTTAATATGTCTCGAATGAATTCGAAAGAATCTTTCCATAACACTGTATACTCTGTTGAACTACCTTACATAGACGGTCACTCCCTTTAACTATTAGCAATTTAATGTCAGAAAATAAATTCCATTTCTTTATTAAATCTTAAAAGTGTCGGATCATTTCATTCTTCCATGCATTTACTATCCCCCCCCCCCACCCCAGCTGTTGAGTGCCGATAGGACAGATTTGACATATCACCTCTAAATCACTTTCATCTAGAGATGTTTCACTTCCACTGCTATCATGCTGATAATCATCTTCTTGAGTATCATCAGGATCATCTTCATCCTCCCCTGTATTCTCAGGAGCAGGTGGAGGAGGTTGCTCCCTAGCTCTAGATCTACCTGGAGCTGGGTTCCTGTTCCTCACCCTACCTCCTCTTCCTCCTGGTTTCTTAGTTCCCAGTATTTTCTCTATACCCTGATGCCGGGATTCTAGTCCTAGACTCTTACTGGTCTTTTTGAGCCCGAGCTGGACCTTGTAGAAGATCCTCTCCTGGTGTCCCATCTCCTTCCTCCTCATGAAGTCTGATGTTGCCGATGTGTAGTGAGAAGACGGGATTAGGTTCCGCTTCCTCCAGATACTTCCGGTTAGTTCGGCAGAAGACGGGGCAGGGAGCACAATTCCTAATATAAATAGTAAATACGCATAAGTGACCATCGTTATAAGTATAAGTGCCCCCATTTAACGAGTTGCTCCACTTACAACGGTATTAATTAAAAACTATCGTCAGAGCAGAAATTATTAAGTTATCTTCGGTTTGCTCTCTGAAATTTTATAATTTTGAATTGTGGTTTCTCTTTAAAAGTGACTTGAGGAATGAAGTAATTAGATATAAAGATTATAAAAGGAAATTAACCGAATTAATGACTTTAAATATCGAAAGCCGACATTATATTTATTCTAGTTGCTCAGATGCAGGTGCTCAGGGTACCATTATGAATCAAACATGCATCTAATTGAAATTTAAAAAATAGGAAAAAATTCCTTGTATATTAACAGAAAACTGTCAAGATTGTTCTTTAACAGAAAACTTTTAAGATGTTGACGGATGGAAACTAAAAACTTATAATAGATGTTTTATTAAAATATCTGATGATGAAATTACCAGGTCTTGAGTGGTCTCTGCTGCTAGGTGGACGCCTATCCGGAGAAGCGTAGGAGTGTTCGTAAACCGGATTCAACACGTCTCCGGATACATCTAATTCTCCTTCTAAACATAACACCACAATGTTGCAAAGTAAATGTAGGTTCCTGAATCAAGGTAAATAGTCTTTTGATAATTTAATTTGATTGTTTACTTCACTGACTGAAGTTGTGTTACCAGTACATTTCAGGTGTATATTTTTCAGAATATCTCGGGAATGTAAAATTTTTTTTATGATTTGGAGAAGAACATGAAAAATTGTTATCTACAAGTAACTTTTATTATTCTTTTACCCCAAAATTCATAGATTATATCCAAAAAATAATCGATCTCCAAAAATACTGATTTTCCCAAATTTAGCGATTTTTTATTTTGCGCTCCGTTTAAGCAACTAAGGATGACTCCTTAGAAAATATAATTTGCATAATAATGTTACGAGAAAACATACACTACACCCCTGTGAATTTTTTAAAAAATATTATCTATCAAATAAAATAAAGGAAGCCGAAGGACTGTTGAAGGTATGTATGAAGATGCACTCACAATCAGGACGCAATTTCAAAACAAACTTTATAAGGATGCAGTATCAATTACACACATTTTGCATTAAGGACACTCATACATGTCCTTTTAGTCCTTTTAGTTACACGCATACTGCGTTGTTGCAAATTCTTTTATGTCCTTATAGTTTTTTTATTAAAAATTCACGGGTATTAGGAAATTAAACTTGAAGAAAAATACAATTTACCTCTTGGAGTAGTTGCTGCTAACTCCGCTATCAGCTGATCAATATTCGAGGCCGGTGTTGTTACACGATCCTGTCGCTGAACAGCCTCAGAGGATCGTCGCCGCCGATTCGGCGATGGACTTTCAACCTCTGTGAGATTTGGAACAAGTAGCTCCTGATCTGAAAGATGTTCTCTGCCAGGGACTAAACGCTGTATATCCGCAGGATAGGGGTTCCCATCACTATCCACTAGGAAGGGTGGAGGGAGGAGGTGGGGAGCACACTGACTCTGCTCATCAACAACATGATGTGCAGAGTCACGGAGTAGAGGACGGTAATCAGAGTGGAAAAACATTTCTTCTGGACATTTCTAAATGAGATATTAATTGCAAAAATTAATTTATTTATTATTTAAATTTATCTTTTATACAAACAACGAGACCCATTTAACTGGTAAATATGAATTTGTATATTTGATGTTGTTAAAGATAGAGCATTTAGTTTTATCATTAGCTTAAATATCAGCTTCAAGTTAAATGGGTCTGCATACACTGTGCAATATTCGTGTTTCAATCATAACTTAAAGGGAGTGTTCGCGAAAAATGAGAGAAGGGGAACACTCCCATTGATTGTCTAATAGTTGTCATCTATCCCACAGTAGTTTTATATCGTATTTGTAACCTTATAGATCTCCGGTGAGGTAACTCCCAGAAAAATGACGTGTCCATGTGAATCACTTGCGGCCACGTGCAGCTGGTCCGGACACCATTTTGCGTCATAAATGGCGCCAAATCCTTGACCTAGAAGGGAATTGTATTAGATCCAACTCGTCCAAATATTAAGAGAAGTGTAGTTAAACAATGAAATCTTGCTTTAACCACTTCTCTTTAACTTAAACCGTACACAAGGTTCAACAACGTCTATGTAGTTAAACTGTCTCTCTATTAATTAAAGTTAGTTAGTAGAAAATTCAAAAAACGTATTGTTTTTTACCTTCTTGTGGGGTTCCCCATTCCATGTCTGCTATCAAAAAGGTTTCCTTTAATCATTGAATAAAGGCAACTTTATTAAATTATTCCCCCCCACCCCCACCCCTTCACCCCACCCAAAAAAGTGAGCATTGCAAAAATTATATCATCCATTCCTTACTTATGGATAAGGAGAAATAGATTCTAATTTTATTTTAAGAATACAATTGATCGAAAAACTTCATCGAATAGAACTTGATAAATTTCTAATATTTTTCACTCAATTCTGATTCTCACCTTCAATATTATTGTTGTATTTGTAAAGAATCTGCTTAGTTGAAATTTCCCAAATGATGATGGACCCATCGTGCGCCCCGGACAGCAGGATGTCGGGGTGGGTCGGGTGGGGCTCCAAGACATACACCTCATCCTTGTAGCATTATTGATTGATTGATTCAGTACATGTTATAAGAACATATGATCCAGATGTTCAAGTTAATGAAATTAGAAATTTACATTTCAGAGCTTTAACTGTCTTCTTACATTTTTGCAGTTTTACTTTCAATATAAACTTTAAAAGGTGGTGGGGTGGGGGGGGGGGGGGGGGGTGGGGAGTGTGAAGGTTAATGCAGGGAACATTTTGAAGATTTCCCCAGATTATTGAAAATTCCCCCCTTCGGATAAACATTAAACTTTGAGCACCATCACCCTTTCTACTACTCTTATTAGGCAAACATTAGGAGGCCGGATTTAAATGATTAAAAAATATATTTAGCAATGAAGTTAATATTATCTCACCTTATGCCCTTTAAGCCTGTAAAGAAGCTCTGAGGTTTGTGAGTCCCAGGCGTGAAGGGATGCGTCAGAAACAGCTGTTATCACTAGACGGTCATCACAAGTCCAAGTAGTCATCGTGACCCTGTAAAAAAGCAATAAGTACGTCAAACCAATTCAAATTTATCACCCCCTAAAAATCATTTAATTCCCCAAATAAGCAAACATAACCCTAACAATTTTTTTTCGCTCCGCGCAAACATACATATTACATAACTTCAGGAACAAAAAAAGTACTTTAAAATGTTTTTTTTTTCAATAAAATATACACCCCTGCAGTATTTAGATCATTAAAATTCAATTAAATCAATCATAATAAAGCAATTTGAGCCAATCAAACAGTTTTGTCCATTTGGGAAAAGTAAAAAAATTGGTTTTTTTTTATGTAAGAAATCAAAAGATCTTATGATTTATTCTGATTTAAAATGATTACCTCGACCATACAGAAACATTTAGAACACATTTAGATTTAAAAATTTGACCCATAATTTAATCAGATTAATGTGAGGGATAAACATTTCCCACTTCCCTTAAAATTCTTTTGTTTTTTTTTCATAAAAATGTATTTATTGTATAGTATACATAAATGTATACCCATGACATTGAATTCACCTAATTAGTTACCTAAGTGGTTCCTCGCACTTCTTGTATGTATTATAATGAACTGTCCTTCCATCCTCAGCTTTTATCACCAGCTGGACAGAATGCCATTCACCGGCCTTATAACTCCAGATTCGAGCTGTACCATCCTTACTACCAGACGCAAACCTAGAGAATAAATACTTAGTGATTAATCTTATCGTGCTACATGGTTTAACATTTTTTTTTAAATCCCCCACCCCCTACCCCTCTTTTATTATCATTCCGGAGGCAAATACAGGGGAAAGTGAAAACTGTGATTTTAAGGGGGGGGGGACAAATTACAAGAATTAACCCCCCCCCCCCAAGCTATATTCGCCCCTGAATTATTCTCGTCCCTCTTGTTGGATGGGGAAATTTTTGCACTTTCATCAATCCTTACCCCCCCCCCTTTAAACAGAAAACCCTGGATCACCTAAGATTAGGCTTGTTTGCCCACTGTAGGCTGTCTACCCGTTTAGTATGAGCTTCCTGTTCTAGAACTTTCACAGGTCCTTCCTGGACAACATATCAATTAAAAAACAAAATGAGAAAGTTTATCAAAATTTAAAAATCTTTAGAAATTACTAGTCTATCGATAAATCCATCCTTCATTGATCTCTACCTTTCCATCCATCATATAGACCCGGACATGGTTGTCAGCTGACCCTGTAGCGAAAAAGAGCCCGCCAAACGAGAAAGATGCGCAGATCATCTGCGCATCTCCAGGGCGCATCTTCTCATGGTATCTTGTGGGCTCAGGGTCGAATACTGGTCGGGCTGATTTTTCAGACTACGGTTATAAATTCATGTCAAAATCAGCTTAAAACAGCTTAAAAAAGCTTCTTTCTTAGATGTCAAAATAAGCAATTAACTTGTGTAAAAAACCATGCTTAAAGATAACTTAGGAGGTTTAAAGACATAAAATGTTCCTTGTATGTGTACTTCCAGAAGCTAACAGTTCCATCGCCAGATGTCGCGGCAAGATAAGGAGGAACACCTTAATCAAAACTAAATAATATTCATCTCATTGAAAATCATTGAAAAAATCAATGAAAATTATTGAAAATTATTGAAAATTATTGAAAATCAATGAAAATTATTGAAAATTATTGTAAATTATTGAAAATGATTAAAAATGATTGAAAATGATTGAAAATTATTGAAAATTATTGAAAATCAATGAAAGTTATTGAAAATTATTGAAAATTATTGAAAATCAATGAAAATCTATATATAAATTTGGCTTGTCTGTCTGTTTGTATCCAATAAACGTCAAAACGGCTGAACCGATCGGGGCCCAAATTTTTTGTGGAACATCTCGGGACCCCAGGGAAGGTTTATGAATGATTGAAATTTTAAAAATTTGTGTTTAAGAGGTTTTTAATTTTGTAAAAAAATTTAAATTTTTGAAAATCCGCAAAACTTTTTTGAAAATTCTTGAAAATTCTTGAAAATTATTGAAAATTATTGAAATTATTGAAAATTATTGAAAATTATTGAAAATTATTGAAAATTATTGAAAATCAATGAAAGTTATTGAAAATTATTGAAAATTATTGAAAATTATTAAAAATTATTGAAAATCAATGAAAATTATTGAAAATTATTGAAAATTATTGAAAATTATTGAAAATTATTGAAAATTATTGAAAATTATTGAAAATTATTGAAAATTATTGAAAATTATTGATAATTATTGAAAAATTTGGAAATTACTCAAAAAATTTGGAAATTATTAAAAATTATCAAAATGTTTTGGAAATTATTGAAAATTATTGAAAATTATTGAAAACTATTGAAAATTATTGAAAACTGTTGAAAATTATTGAAAACTATTGAAAATTATTGAAAACTATTGAAAACTATTGAAAACTATTGAAAATTATTGATAATTATTAAAAATTATTGAAAATTATTGAAAATTATTGAAAATTATTGAAAATTATTGAAGATCATTAAAAAATTTGGAAATTATTCAAAAAAATTGGAAATTATTGAAAATTATTAAAATGTTTTGGAAATTATTGAAAATTATTGAAAATTATTCAAAACTAATGAAAATTATTGAAAACTATTGAAATTTATTGAAAATTATTAAAAAAATTTGGAAATTATTCAAAAAATTTGGAAATTATTCAAAAAATTTGGAAATCATTAAAAATTATTAAAATGTTTTGGAAATTATTAAAAATTATTAAAATGTTTTGGAAATTATTGGAAATTATTGAAAATTATTGAAAATTATTCAAAACTATTGAAAATTATTGAAAACTATTAAATTATTGAAAATTATTAAAAAATTTGGAAATTATTCAAAACATTTGGAAATTATTAAAAAATTTTAAAATGTTTTGGAAATTATTAAAAATTATTAAAATGTTTTGGAAATTATTGAAAATTATTGAAAATTATTCAAAACTATTGAAAATTATTGAAAACTATTGAAAATTATTAAAAAATTTGGAAATTATTCAAAAAATTTGGAAATAATTAAAAATTATAAAAATGTTTTGGAAATTATTGAAAACTATTAAAACTATAAAAAATTATTCGAAATTATTGATAACTATTGAAATTATTGAAAATCATTGAAAATCGTTGTAAATTATTGAAAATTATTAAAAATTATACAGTCATAACCAGAAAGACCCAGAATTAATTGACAGTTAATCAGACGACTTTACATATATATTGTGGAAGACGATGCCTGGCCGCGTTAAACTAGTTCCACAAGATTCAACAGAATGAGATAGAACGGATACGGGGCATATTATCCTATATCTCAGAATTCACCAGTGATCTCCGCCATACGCCTGGGGCTGCAAATGTAGTGGCTGACAACCTCTCCCGTCCTCCTCCACAATTCCCCCCCGATCCACAGCTTTGGAATTGGCAGGACTAGGGCTATTTTGTTGTTTTCGTTTCATTAGTCATATTTGTAAAATTAGATTTTAAAGTCGTCTGATTAATTATAAATTAATTCAGGGTCTTTCTGTTTATGTAGTATATTGAAATTTCTTGAAAATAATGAATATATGATAAGATTAAAGGATGACTCTTGTAAGGAAGGATGAATGAATGAATAAATGAATGAATATATTACTAGGAAGGGAGGCCGGACAGAAGTGTAGAGCTGTGATGGCTCCAGTATGTTTGGCTAGTACCGCTACAGGAGCTGCTGTTTGTAAACACCAGACACGGATAATCTTATCAGTACTCCCAGCAGCAAGCAGCCTAAACAATCAATCAATCAATCACCTTGAACTCTCAATCAAGAGCTAGTAAATAGTTTAAACTATCAACCAACCAACCAATTTATCAAAAGTAAGAAGATATAAGTCTTGATCAGGAGCCAGTGCATAGTCATGACAAGCATGGAAACTCATCAATTCAATTCAAGTCAAGTCAAATCAAATCAAATCATACTTTACAGGCATTCTTTGCAGGAATCCGAGTTTAATGCTTAAACAGATTAGTTTTTGGTTTTACTTTTCATATGAGTCCTCTTTAAAGTTGTCTTGAATATTGTGTACTCATCCTGTAAAATTCACAGGATTCGATAAATTTTTGCCGTGTTACAAATTTTACGTACCCACCAATTGCTGATTGACAAACATTTTTCTTTAGGTATAAAAGGCAGGTACTTCCCTTTTGGATTTGAATATTCATTGTTTAATCAATCATGTGCAAACCAAGCATTGTAATTAATTTCGTCATGGCCAAGCTAAATTTACATTCCATCATAATTCATTACACATCAGTACTATCACAACGTAACTCATAGCCCTATAACATGAAACACATTAGTGCCATCATTGCTATATAAACCTATGACAGAGAGCACATTAGTGCCATCATTGCTACATAAAACTATAACAGGGAGCACATTAGTACTATCATTGCTACATAAAACTATAACAGGGAGCACATTAGTGCCATCATTGCTACATAAACCTATAACCAGAGAGCACATTATTAGTGCCATCATTGCTACATAAAACTATAACAGAGAGCACATTAGTGCCATTATTTGTACATAAACCTATAACAGAGAGCAAATTAGTGCCATCATTGCTACATAAAACTATAACAGGGAGCACATTAGTGCCATCATTGCTACATAAACCTATAACAGAGAGCACATTAGTGCCATCATTGCTACGTAAAACTATAATAGGGAGCACATTAGTGACATCATTACTACATAAACCTATAACAGGGAGCACATTAGTGCCATCATTGCTACATAAACTTTTAACAGGGAACACATTAATGCCATCATTGCTACATAAACATATAACAGGGAGCACATTAGTGCTATCATTGCTACATAGAACTATAACAGAGAGCACATTAGTACTATCACTACGTAACTACATAGCCCTATAACATGAAACACATTAGTGACATCATTGCTATATAAACCTATAACAGAAAGCACATTAGTGCCATCATTGCTACATAAACCTATAACAGAGAGCACATTAGTGCCATCATTGCTACATAAACCTATAACAGAAAGCACATTAGTGCCATCATTGCTACATAAACCTATAACAGCACATTAGTGCCATCATTGCTACATAAACCTATAACAGAGAGCACATTAGTGCCATCATTGCTACATAAAACTATAACATGGAGCATATTAGTGACATCATTGCTACATAAACCTATAACAGGGAGCACATTAGTGCCATCATTGCTACATAAACTTTTAACAGGGAGCACATTAATGCCATCTTTGCTACATAAACATATAACAGGGAGCACATTAGTGCTATCATTGCTACACAAAAACTATAGCATTAGTGAGATCATTACTACATAAACTTTTAACAGGGAGAACATTAACGCCATCATTGCTACATAAACATATAAGAGGGAGCACATTAGTGCTATCCTTGCTACATAAACATATAACAGGGAGCACATTAGTGCTATCAATGCTACATAAACATATAACAGGGAGCACATTAGTGCTATCATTGCTACATAAACTTTTAACAGGGAGCACATTAATACCATCATTGCTACATAAACATATAGCAGGGAGCACATTAGTGCTTTCATTGCTACATAAAACTGTAACAGGGAGCACATTAGTGCCATCATTGCTACACAAACATATAACAGGGAGCACATTAGTGACATCATTGCTACATAAACCTATAACAGAGAGCACATTAGTGCCATCATTGCTACATAAACCTATAATAGGGAGCACATTAGTCCCATCATTGCTACATAAACATATAACAGGGAGCACATTAGTGACATCATTGCTACATAAACCTATAACAGAGAGCACATTAGTGCCATCATTGCTAGATTAATTAACATGTTAAAAGAAAAATACATTTTCTACCTAACTGTTATTCATATTTCCCTTGATTAAATTGATAATATCAATGTGCTAAATGACTCCAAAACGTTTAAAAGTCGTTTTAGAGCTTAGGAGTTTGTAACAGCTACAAAATAAACAGAGCTCACCATTTTCCAATACTTCCTTTATCTATCAAATATATTGACTTTAATTAATTATAGACTTGAGTTTAAAAAACAAAAATAATTAATAATGTTGAAAAAACATGGATGTTAAAAAATGTTTACCTAACAGAAACATTAATATCCAAATTCCACCCTGTTTAATGTCTAATGTTTACCTTCTTTATTATTTTAGTCTAAAACTATAGTTACCAGTGTTAAGCTAGAACCTTAGTAAACAGTATTCTATCGAATCCTTCTAATACAAGTAAAACCATACTTTAAAGATGAAATCATTTCAATTAACACGAGCAATGAAAACATTAGGATTCATTCCAGTCAGCGAAGATAAAAATGGTTGTGTACGGATCAATCTTCTAAAGCCAGCTTTCCTGGCTCAACTCACTGTCCGTGGCGTAATCATCGGAGCTTATCTTTATTTCATTTTAATTTATGCACTGCAGCAGGAGATGTCCATCCCAATGGTTGTAGTTCTTAGCTTTAATGTACTTGGCACCTGTGGAACATTTGTCTATATTTTCTTAATGGCTTTAGCAGCTAAACGACTAGAAAACAATACATTCACTGGAGAAAGTCAGATGACTGGACAGACCTTAATTACAATGATAACTCCCCAACTCTTATTCTCAACTGGAACTATACTAAGCCAACTTACACTGTTAACTCTTGAAATTTCCTGGGTTTCAAAATGTGGTCTTTGCATTACACTGTTCTTTGTTGACATAATTACACTGTTGGATATGTTTTTGATGGTATCAGCTTCTTATTTATGGGTATTGGATTTAAAGACTAAGATTGGTGTGATATTAAATCTAGAAAAAGCTGAGAACCAGATTGATAACTTTGAGAAGATACACAAGGATTATATTAGTCTCAAACATGCGCTTGAACCAATTACATTTGCTGAATTTTCTTTCGTTCAAATTTTGTGCATAGTATCCGTTTACCTGGCATTCAAAGGTACTATTTTTTCATGAATCTTATTAACCATTTCATCATGTTTTTTTCTTCAGGATACATATTCAGCCTTCTACAATTTCTTGGTATGCTCATGCTCCTTGTTCTCATGGTAACAGTTCTAAGTGATCTGTATGAACTAATGGATGAGTTGGCAAACAAAGCTGAGGAAACAGGTCTAGAGCAATCTAACCTACGAAGCATATTCAGGTATATTTACTAAACAGGATTAGAATATAAGAGTTGGGTCCAGCTTAATTGAGAATCAAGCTTATACCCAATTTTATTTGTTTGGTTCTAAATTGAGCTGTTTATTCACCAATCATCATGCTTTAACTTAAAGACTGAATTTCATTTTACTCCTTAATGTTAATTTGTGATAAGGAATATGTCACTACCTAACAAATATATTTTTAGGTTCAAGCAAATCTCAGGAAAATTGAGAAGGGCTGGTTTATTTACAGGACTAGGATACTTCACTATCGAATTCTCAACCATCACAGCTTTCCTTGCTACAACTCTTACTTATCTTATTGTACTTTTACAGTCAAATTTTTAATCTTATTGTACTTTTACAGTCTAATTGTTAATCTTATTGTACTTTTACAGTCAAATTTTTAATCTAAATATACTTTTACAGTCAAATTTTTAATCTTAAAGGGACTGTAAAGGAAAAATGAAAGGGGGTATAGGCTGAAAGCTAATCACTTTAGCTCTTGATCGTGACCCATGAAAGTTTCATCTGATGTTCCTGTCTCGAGAAATTGATATAAAACTGTGTTAAAATTAAACGAAAGTTCGTATATGTAAAATTTAGAAAATCTTAAACTTAAATCACGTGACCAAAACTATCACCAATGGCAGAGTAGTATACTGGTCACGTGTCTCCGCCTGTATCACGTGACCACTTTACTGCACTGCCATTGGTGGAATTTCTGGTCAAGCAATACGGACGTATAAATAATATTATGAATTAAATCTATAAAAAAATATAAATAACAAATATAAAATTAGAACTGGAGTAAACCTGAGATACAATTAGCTTTCTCTGGAATATCTTCGTTTTCATATTGGATGCATATTTGCTGAATTTGATCTTTTTAAACCCACTACTTTTATACAAAATTGTATATATATTAATTTTCGTATAAATTTGACAAAGTTGTAAATCAATTTCTCGAGATAGGAACATCAGATATAACTTTCATGGGTCGCGTTTGAGAGCTAAAGTGATTAGCTTTCAGCCTATACCCCCTTTCATTTTTCCTTTACAGTCCCTTTCATGTACTTTTACAGTCAAATTTTCAATCTTATTGTACTTTTCCAGTCAAATTTTCAATCTTATTGTACTTTTACAGTCAAAATTTTAATCTTAATGGTTACTTTGTAAATTTCTTGATGCAACATACTTCATAAATACATTTGTATAAAGAAGACATTTCGAAAAATGCTTCAACTCAAAATTGATTCTGGAAAAGTTGGCATTTTCCTAGAAAAAAGAATTGGGAGGATAATTCCTTATTTCTACGTATAAATGAGCTGATAATGAAGTTTGTTCGTTCTTACTTGCAGTCCTCCCAAATATTGATTAGTTAAACTGTTTATTTAACATCGCTATGTACATATGAAAGAACTAACTTTTCTAATAACATGAAGTAAAGAATTTTTTAATTAAAAATAAAATTGAGTTACTTCCTAAAATGAAATGGTTTATAAAATATAATGGGTGATGGGAATTGGGCATTAATACACCTACAAGCAAACTAAACGGAAACTCTTATATTATATATATATATATATATATATATATAATATATATAATATAATACTCTTTGTACCAACTTTGTACCAAACTCAAAGCAACTAATTTGCAATCAATCAATTAAACCATGAATCATTCCATTAAATCACGCAATGAATATTGCAATTAATTCTTGCAATATTAAACGTCTGATTAATGATATTGCAATTTTTCAAACTATCATTTCTTCCAATTAGATACAACTTTACTTTATATCACTAAAAAATAAATTATCTATCAATACAACCTTCTTTCTTATCATCATTAACACATCAATTAGAAAAAAGCCTACTTGTTATCCTCAGAAACCGCCATGTCTGATATCTCAGCAGAGGCCCCACGGAACGTGAAGTAAAGACGACCATTAAAGGTTCCCCACATCTAAAATAAATCCATTGTATGAGCCTGTTTCAGTGTAAGTAAAGAATTCCAAAAAGGCTTTGCCGCTAATGTACGAGCGGATCTTTAATTTGATCATGAGATTTAAATATATCCTAAACCGCATTGCAAATCTCTATTGGTTCTGAATAGTCATAAAGTGCGTCAGTGAAATGGATTAGACGCAACTGGACAGTTAAAACAAGGAGTTACTTAGTTGAAAGATGGACTGAATCATGCTAATCAAAGAATGATGATGAATTATAAAAACTAGGTTTCGATGCGCTGGCCTTTCTGGTAATAATCTTAACGTTTTATTGATCTTTCTGCAAGACTTTTATTAAAAAAGGTATACTATTTATGTTCGCCGATCCCCAAAATTTTAGTTAAAAGGTGTCTTTTATACGAAGCCAGGTGTGTACTTTTCAAAATTATCCCCCTCCCCTGGATAATAAAAACATTAAATATGAAGTTTCTTTATCATCAGACAAATAAAGGTATATTCTCCCATGATACCTAGCTTAGATAGGTTCCATGGAGACATTGTACCAAAGAGAATAGAATTTATTAGAGTGGAATTTACTCGAAAAAAACTGTAAAACGGCCATTTTGTTGTACTGTTTCCATACTGTAGGTGTACTTCACACATTTGTGCTATATAATCTTTTGGGCCCTGGAACATCATTTTATAGAAAAGTTTTCTTATTAAATTCACTTTACAAACGACGATTTTTAAATTTTAATGTTTAATTCACCAAAAGCAAATACACCTAAAGCAAATACACACGTTTAAAGTTAATTGACAACTTTATAAAACAAACAAATTGGAATGGATCATACTGTATTAGTGTGATGTACTGCGTATAATTTGTGAAAATTTACATGAATTGTACACTTTGAACTCCCTTTCAGGCTGAAAGGGACTTACAAATTTCATACCGAGGGATTTTTTAAAATCCACTCTAATATATTCTATTCTCTTTGCATTGTACGAGAAAAAGCATGAAAAACATAAATGATTTTTAATATCCTACCTTAACCAGCAAATCGTCCGCTCCGGTGAAAACATAGTTTCCAGTCTACACCAAACCAAACCAAATTTTATTACTTGAAGAATCACACAGAGATAAATTTTTAACAGGAATTACCCTCTCCGGCGGAAAATTTGAAAAAAAAAACTTTCTAGCTTTTCCCTCTATTTTTTTTATTTATTTACTCCCAAGTCGGAAATCTCCAAAAACTAATCAGAAAAGGCTTTTCTTAAGAAATTTTTTAAGAGGGGGGGGGAGGAGGCGAAAATAAACACCTAGGACATTAACATTTAAAGTGGAAGTGGAAGTGGAAGTGGAAGTGGAAGTGGAAGTGGAAGTGGAAGTGGAAGTGGAATTGGAAGTGCAAGTGCAAGTGCAGGTGCAAGTGCGAGTGCATGTGCAATTTCGACTTCCACACAACTATAAAACTACGATAGAAACAGTTAATATAGTACCTGAATGAATTTAATTGTAAGAGTATTTGTAAGACCAAAGACACGTAAAGAGAAGGGCAGCATATAATACAAAGACTTGGGGCCTCTAGGTCCATGTGCCTGAACAATTATAAGATTAGAGACATAAATAGTACCTTTCTTCCACTGTGGAGAATGAATATTACCATTTCTAGTCTATATAAACAATACATACTTTTCCTCCATTCTTCCACTGTGGAGAACGAATACCACCATGACTACCTCGAGATAAACCTTGATCCTACCTATTCTCTATTCTTCCACAAATGCTGCCATGCATCCATCTGAACCTTGCACCTACCTTTCCACCATTCACCCACTGTGGAGAACGAATACTACCATGTCTAGCTCGACCAGTTCCTTTCTGAGGCCAGGGTTTCTTTCCTCCACCATACCTTGTATTAATAAATATAAAAATAACATCACCCTAAATATATATCTTATCAGAGCGGGTTGTTTCTATATATATAAAATGAGGGCTGCTAGTTTAAAATGTACTTCAACTAGCAGCCTAAAATTTTTCTTTATACTGAATTATTCAAAATTAATATTGATAAAACCCGTTTTATTGCTGAATCACACGAGTTGTTTAATTTAACAAATTCAAAATTTTAATTCATGCTCAACATTTTTTATACGGTTTTTAAGATGAAAACCAACATTCACTTAATAATGAACTCAAGAAGAAAATATGCAAACCAAATGTATCAGGAAATAATAACAAAATGTCTAAGGATACAAAAACGACCTTTCTTAGGAAACAAAAACAAAATGTCTTAGGAAACAAAAACAAAATGTCTTAGGAAACAAAAACAAAATGTCTCAGGAAATAAAAACAAAATGTCTTGCAAAACAAAAACAAAATGTCTCAGAATACAAAAACAACCTTTCTTAGGAAAAAAAATGTCCCAGGAAACAAAAACTTAACTCACCTAAATATCATCTCCCTGACGTTCTTGGCATGGCTGTAGTTAACGGTTTTGTAGTCAAGTTGCCACTTCACATTCTGATGTATCAAATCAATTCGAGGATAAACTAAAAAATATTTTTTTTTGAAATTTTAGTTAAATTGATTTTTATTTTCATTTTTAATTTATCATTTTGCTTCTTTTTATTGAAAGCTTATTTAGTATTGCACTGCACTGTCCAGGACTTAACTACATGCACTGAACTTTTCTGAACTTTTCTGTCCTGTAATACTGTACTATTGTACTATACTAATATACTACTGTACTAATCTACTACTGTACTGCACTGTACTGTAGTGTACTGTAGTGTACTGTACTGTACTGTACTGTACTGTACTGTACTGTACTGTACTGTACCTGCGAAAACATCTGCGTTTAGTTTCCGAATTCCAATTTTCTTCTCCTCTACTGTATCCAGGCTCTCTACCCACACCTCCTGATCAGTTCCGTACTGGACTACATGCTGGCTCACATCTACAATCAAATCAAACACTCAACCAACCAATCAATCAATCAATCAATCAATCAATCAATCAATCAATCAATTAATCAAACCAAGAATTATTCAATTAATCAATCAATAAATCAAGAAAAGAATGAATGAATGGATCAATCAATCATTTAACCAATTTAGTCTGGAAATATATATTTAATCAATTATCAATTTTCATTAAACCAGAGGCGGCTTATGGGGGGGGGGAGGACAATGACACCCCCGTCCTGGAAAATTGGGGGACCTCCCCCCTTCCTGGAAAATTTGGGGGACGTTTCCCCCCCTGAAAAAATTTGGAGGGCAAGAAGAGAGAACAGGCACCTTCTAGCCATTTAATTTTGATTTTTAAGAATAGAAAAAAAACTTTTTAACTCGAAACAAATAGTTATTATAAAAATCTTAATCTTGCAGACATATTTTTCACCTTCCACCCCACAGCTGCTGATTTTGACATAAAGCTGACCAAATTCACTGAAAAAAATCCAGGGGGTGGGGGTTAAGCGCAATAATTCAATTTTTATCNCCCCCCCCCCCCGGAAAATGTCATAAGCCACCCCTGCATTAAACTTTTCATCAAAATTGAATATCAATTTTAAACATGTTTAAATAAAAATGAAAGGAAAAATGGAATAAAAGTTAAGTCTTTGTCCGGAAATACTACTTTAACCGGAATTAAAAACAGCTAATTTTAACTTACCAAAATTTTGAAGAAAATTAAATTCATCTTTCTGTGAGATTGTTGAAGAAAATCTGCATAGACGGAGATTTTCTGCAGTTTTTTTTGCAATAAATTCACAACTTCTCAACATAGAAACCATCATCTTGATTCTGGAAATAAAATATATACATACATGTTTAACTATAAAAATATCTTAAATGTAAATTTAAATCTTTCCTGACAGAACTGTTGCAACGTAAAATAGAAAAGTGTATGTATCACAGGTGAAAAAGTAAAATTACTTAAATTCCGAAAAATCTGCATTCTTTAACTTGGTCTTATGATTGGAAAAATTCCAGAGGATTAATTGGTTCTCCAGGATCAATTTGTCCAACAGGATCAATAGGTTCTTCATTAACAACTGGTTCCAGAGGATTAACAGGGCCCACAGAATCTCCAGAAACATCTTTTTCTGTAACTTCAACCTCGGTAGTCACTTCTCCAGTATCATTCTCTCCCAGAGCTTCTTTATCTGCTACAGCACTGCCATCAGAGACATCTCCGTTGTGATAAACGTCTTCTTTAGAATTTCCATTCTCAGTTACTCCTTCTTAAAGTGGAAAGTGTATTAGAACTTTTAAGTAAAGCTCTCGATGATTCACAATGGTACTCTTTAAACCTTTGACTTACCACTTATCTTAAAATTGATTCTTTTCAATTTTGTTTTCTCAAAAAGTAGAAACAAAAAATAAACAGATAGAAATACGACAAAATCTTTCTAATTGTATGCAGATAAACCTTTACTAATTGTGCGTATAACTCTTTAATCGGAGAATCACTTCAAATATGGACAACTCTATCTATTTGATTTACCTTGGACAGCTAGAGCTAGTTCTTCCATTCTATCAGCAACATATTCAGTCCCACTGGCAGGGGGAGGAGGGATTATCAATTCATCTAAATAGAAATACGATCAATCCCAAAACTAAATTCAAGTAAGATTTAGGTTTCAGCGGAGTTTGACAAGAATGTAATGGTTTTTTCTAAAAAATAACAACGAAAAGTGGATCTTTTAAATATGAGAAAATAATAAATGGCTTGGGTCTTCCCCAATTCCAAAAATTAAAACAACATTGTTTATAAAAAAAAACATTTATTTAACAGTTAACTAAATAATTTCAGTAACTTACCAGGCTCTTCTGGCATAAAGTCTAGGATGGGTAGGCATATCTTGGCTTGAATAATAAATCCTAGTTTTCTGCTCTGCAAATCTGAACTGGAAAATCCGCAAATTTCGGATAAATAATTTGGCGGGAAAAGCGCGGACAAGCACTGCTGAATGTAGGGTAGCAGAACAGATTTAAATACAAGGCAAAGGTTCTTAAATCCAAGTTTCTCTGTATCCCTCCATTTAGCTGAGTTTGACCGGTGGTAAGCTAGCAGAAGGTTGACTGTCTCGGCCAGGAAATTCTGTAAACTGGAAGTAACAGAACCACAAATAGATAAAGGAGCACATAGTCTAGTTCAATATCTTGTCTTAAAAACTTAACTCTAGAAATACTGAGTGGTAATCAGAATCTATATACGGCCTGGGAGGGGTCGCCAAACTCCCAAACTCCCCCCCCCCCCCCCCCCCCCACACACACTTTCCATGCTCCAGCCTCAGCAGCTTCTCCTTCTAGACTATTCAACCTCCCTCCTTTACTGGTCCCCAAAAACCACCACAAACACCGGTCGTCAACCCCACTGACAGTGCTCACTGCTCAGTATTGATATTCCCTTTGAGATAACACACAACACAGAATTGTCTGTGATATCACTATTTATTATTGTTTTTTGATGAAGACCAGATAAACATATTATTACTTTATATTGAGGGAATGTCAGATGAGCTTCTGTTTAATGTAGAAAAAGAACGTCTGACATAGCAGGAGATATTGGTATCAGTTTGAGAGAGAGGATTGAAATCCAAAAGCTCTTTTTAATTGCTCAAAAGGCTTTTATTGAAACTACTGACAACCCAGCTCTTTAAAACAAGAAGAATTTGTTTAAGATATTGATGAAATAGTGGATGGGTTTTAAGTCTTCATTGATTTGTCTCATGAAGAAAAGATATGATTCCTTTAAGCTGCTCTGTGAACATGTCAATGTAAGATCCTCTCAAAAGCTATTTGTGAAACAGTAGGATCCATGACGGGTATTGTTGTATGAATCCTTATCTAATGGTAGAAATCTTCAACCTTAAATCTTAGACAAGAGGTTATTCTGAACTTTAATCTTCCCCCATCCCATGTCCTTCACAGTAGTGGTTTTATTCAAGAAATTGCTGAGCTTTGGAGATCAAAAAAATCAAGATTTCACCGAACTTCAGCAATCTAAGGTCTTCATATCTCAGAATTGTCCTCCTTCCTTGCAAACTTCCGTAGGAGAGAAGAAATGAAGAGTTATATCCCAGTAGCACTGTGGAGCCAGACAAAAAGTAAAGACAAAATGTTTTTTTATGTAAACCTCGAGTCACTTGTAAGTAAAATAAGGTTATTGACATTTCAAAAAAGTAAAAATGACCTTAAAAATATCTAACATTTGGGGTTAAAAACGTTTTTTTAAGGGGGAGATTTTCCAAGAAAATATACACCCCTGAAGGTACCGTTGTGAATCGGGCATTGTCGTATCTACATGAAGGGGCACTTGAAATCACGCTTACAGTCCCTTTAAGAACTATCTCTCATTTCTCCAATTTTGATCCACCAACAAACATTTATTGTTTTTTCTTGTTAAAGGGTTTGTTGGAATTTTTTAGTCTTCTATTAGTCTAAGGTTATCATGTTTATTGTTTAATAATCACTTGCTTTTCCTTTACCATTCATCTTTAACACTTTTTAATGGACCTTAACTCCTTGGACTAAGGATTCAGATTCTTATTTTGATTGATAATTTGGTAATATACCTTGACAATTAGAAGTTTTAGTTCGAAACTGGGATCCATCTTTAAACTTGTTCAGTCTTAAAACTCTATAATCATTTTATATACTTCAGAGAAACATCTGAAACAGTTTTCAGTATTATTAAGGAAAATAAGAAAAAAGGGGAAATGGTGGAAAACAATAACATGTAGGCTTACAGGCAGGTTTTTTAAGGAAAAATCAACAAGACGAATTTAACAGGAAGCATATTTTCTTTAACGGAGAAGAAAATGTTATTAACTCTTATATCGTTTATAAAAAATCATTGGTCCTAACTAAACCAGAGGTCTGTGAGCTTCTAGTTTAAAACTTATCTCTTTAGGACCTTGTCTATTCAGCTTAGATCTTTCCAAACCATCCGTTCTAGACATATATAAACAAATTAGAAAATTCATGAAAAAGTGATTTTTTTTTAAAATATAACAAACAATAAGAGATAAAACAAAACAGGTATTTTTTTTTAATAACAGGTATAAAAAATAATAAAATAAAAGGGTGAAGAAATGAAAAATTGAATTAATGAAGAGCTGAACAAAAAAACAATTGAACAATTGAACAATCAAACAATTGAACAATTGAAAAATTGAAAAAATTAAAAAATTGAAAAATTAAAAAAATTGAAAAATTGAATAATTGAACAATTAAACAATTAAACAATTGAAAAATGAATAAATGAACAATTGGAAAAATAAATATTTGAAAAATAAAAAAAATAAAGAAATACACAAATTTTCAACGAACAATCGCCATAAAGAAATGAAAAAATGATCAAATGGACAATTTAACAATGTTCAAATAGAAGAAAAATAAGAATGATAAAATTCACGAATTATAAAAATAATAAAATTAAACCTGTTAAGGGCGAATATAAGTTTTCTCTCTAAATCATCTACAGCTGCTTCAGTAAGGACGAGGGTTTGATGTTTCAACATTGATAACACATTCAGCCCATACACAGGCCTAAATTAAATAAAAATAGTAATAATACCAAGATCAAATCAAATCCAATAAGACTGTACTTATTCCAGGGACAGGTTTTCTTAAATAATTATCAAAGAATAATTTGTTTATAATTAGATTCATAAATATTAATGCCGCAACATTTTTCAAGACGACGACATCTCTTCTTATTATCAAGAAATTATTATGTTTAGCCATGGAACAACTATATGTTTAGCGGAACATCCCGTAGAATAATTGCATCAAAATAATATGCATAGCAACATTATTTTTACATACTAAACACAGTGTTACCCACAAAGAAGACAACTCACGATTAATTCTTTCTTTTTTCACTCCCTAGGAAACATTAAAACCGGCTACAGTTCCGAAAGCGAAGATACGTAAATAATTGTGGACTTTTGATGTTCGACATCGGCATGTCGGAGACTAAATGTTTGAACTGGAGGGCCATGCTTCCCTGAAACTGGAAACTTGCTTCGTTCTTTGTCAATTATTGTTTAAAATATTATCAGAGATAAGAATCAACGAGCCAATTCAACTATCAGATTGTTTTAGGGTTTTTTTTACAGTCTTATTCATTGAATGTTCGTTTTTTATGTATTTCCCCAATGGCGAATTCCCAAATGTGCAATTTCACAAGCGGCAACTTCCCAAAGGTTAGTTTAAGCCTTCTCAGACGCTGCAGGCTGCAAAGGGGGCCGAGCACTGTAGCTAAGATAGACTTGGAATGTTGCCGCTAAGGAAATTTTATGGTTGAGAAGTTGTCACATGAAAAAATACTCTAAGGAGTTGCCGCTTGGGAAAAACCTTTGGGAAAATATCTAACATCCTAGAAACTACTTACATAAGATTAACAGATGGGATGGTGTCAGTGGCTGCAGTAATATTCCTCGGGAATATATCAGCAGAATCAACTATCAGAGTGGATTTAGACCATCCCCGGGTTGAAATCAACTCTAGAAAAAGACGCAGGAATTAATAGACAGATCTGAAAAGGAACATTCATTAACATTATGCAAAGGTAAATATTTTCTTGATTTAATCTGTAAAGTTATGTATGGTTTTATAGGGTTTTATTCGCTGAATAAGGGAAAATAATGATTTTTAGGGGAAAATTGATAAATGTTTGTGTAAAACGTATTGAAAAAAATGCTTAGGATGTCCGATTTTTTATTTCTTTATTTTTAAGTGAACACATTCCCGATTCACAACAACACCCTTCATACCTTTATCTGAGTAAAAACGAAGAAGAAATACTGTAAAGGGGAGGGTGAGTTTGACCAATTTTAATACGTTTTTTTAAACACCTATCTGTAAGTCAAGAATCTCATTACTAACATCAGAAAGAAGTTCAAGGTTTTTCAGATCACTTTTCCCCCTTTCATCATTTTTTCCCCTTTCATCATTTTTCCCCCTTTTTATTTTGTTTAACAAAAATACTATCCAATTGCAGCATGTGTGCAAAAGATTTTTAAATTTTCGATGAAAAATGAAATAATGAATCAAAAAAATCTTAAAATATTAACAAATTGGGAAAATCAGACTTTTTTTGTGAAAAAGCTTTTAAAAACCTGGAAAAATGAGGAAAAGGGGAAAATATATTTTCAATTTTTTTATTTTTCTTGTATAAAACACAAATGATGCCCATATGCAAAATTTCATTCAGATTCTTCAAAAAAAGAAGACAGATGTATTTAAATTGATCAAACTCACCCTTCCCTTTGAAACCAAACATCGAAAATCAACTTTTACTGTATTGCCTGAGTTCCTAACTTCCTAGCTTTCGTTTGATATGCACAAAGCCATAGTTAACACATTTTCAATCTTGCTCTCATTAGAGGTTGTTAGAGGTCATTAGAAGGTCAAACACTGGATTCATTGCTGCTACTGTATTGCCTGGGTTCCTAGCTTTCAATTGATATGCATAAAGCCATAGATAAAACATTTTAAATTTTGAGGTCATTAGAGGTCATTAGAGGTCATTAGAGGTCGTCAGAGGCCATTAGAGGTCATTAGAAGGTCAAACACTGGATTCATTGCTTTTACTGTATGGCCTGGGTTCCTAGCTTTCGATTGATATCCATAAAGCCATAGATAAAACATTTTAAATTTTGAGGTCATTAGAGGTCGTTAGAGGCCGTTAGAGGTCATTAGAAGGTCAAACACTGGATTCTTTAGTTTGACTGTGTTTCCTGGGTTCCTAGCTTTCGTTTGATATGCAAAAAGCCATAGTTAAAACATTAGTGTCCAATCTTTTTTAATTTTTGGATTTTTTTTTTTGAAAAATTGGAAGATTTGAACCAAAAATAAAGGTATGGACCCCCTCATCTAATAAGACATCTCCACCATCACCATTAAATCTGATTTACCATGAATATAGGTTGGATCATCTGTCGGTATTTCAAGGTTTTTCACAACATGAATATCATCCTAGACAATAAAAATTAAATAGTTTGTTATTTTCAATAAGTGGAAGTGCAAGTGCAAGTGGAAGTGCAAGTGGAAGTGCAAGTGCACGTGCAAGTGGAAGTGGAAGTGGAAGTGGAAGTGGAAGTGGAAGTGCAAATGCAAGTGCAAGTGGAAGTGGAAGTGGAAGTGGAAGTGGAAGTGAACCCTCACTCCCTCTCCCTCAAAACAACAATAAATTTCCTCAAATCCTGAAATTCAAGGATAGGTTGAAGAAAATAAATAACTGCACGGAAAACAAGAAGTAAAATTAAAAATGGTAGAAACTAATAAATAAGAATAACAAGGATAACAGAATACAAAATGAGAATATGGCTGGCTGTCGTTAAAGATTTTAACTAAAAAAATTATTATTTACACGGTTATTTTCTTTCGATTTGTTAATTCTAGATTGATAAAATCATACTAGCCTGCGCCCATCTTCTAAATTAATTGTGAACATGTTCTCTTTGTGTACATCGTAAAACAAAACAAAAATAATTCGCGGATTTTCACAAAATAAATTCGTGGATTTTCAAAATTTTAAAAAATTTAATGAAGATCGAATTTTGATGGAGACAAATATTTAAAATTTTGATCTTTCATAAACCTTCCCTGGGGTCCCTTAGATGTTCCACAAAAAATTTGGGCCCGATCGGTTCAGCCGTTTTGACGTTTATTGGATACAAACAGACAGACAGACAAGCCAAATTTATATATAATTTTAAGCGGAAAAGCTCAAAACATGTTGGATTGCGAAAAAATCGCATGAAAACCTTTGATTCAACCGCCTTTTTTCAGTCTAAACTACACAATAAACTTCAATGGATTTTTTTTCAAAAAAGGCTCGCCAGGGATTTCTAAAAATCTAGAAACTAATAAACGTCTTCTACTTTCAGAATTAGTAAATACCTCGTCTTCGTTTTTAAAACCTATTTCATAACTGAGGGGAAATAAAAATATTGATTGGTTCCTTGTCGAAGAGTAAACAGAATACAGCGGAGAGGTGTCCTATAGTTCGTCGCAGAAGATGTACCTTCTAAAAAATAAACATTTTGTCAATTTTTTCAAAGTTTCACTCAAAACTTGCACAAGTTCAAGACAAAAATCTATCTTTGTAAACATAAAAAATGTACTGCAGTTTCTGGGTGGAATATTAACAAACTCAGTGATACTGTGAGTTCTCCCAGAAACTATAGGTAACAGGGCTGGTAACTCTTGCATTGTGGATATTAAGATTAGTGCCTGATCTCTATACATTGTTAATCTAAGGATTTATTTGATCTTTAATCGATATCCCGCAAGGTAAGCGTACCCAGTGATCAGGGATTGTAGGGAGCTTTGATCAGGGGATGAATGACTAAAATGATACAGAAAGGTATAGTTTTTATGGATCCTCAACTTGAAAGTGCCCACAGCGTATATTGAGATCAAAGGATCGGGATTTAAAGTATCCAACATAAAAGTTCCCAGCTCAGTTTATATAAACAAAGTTTTTTTTTTGTGGACACTCAGGGATGTTTTGGGCTAAAAATGGTTCAAAATAAAAAAAAATAATTATCTTATCTTTTATTCACGGGCAACGCCGTGTTTTAAAGCTAGTAATTGATATTTAATCATTGCAGCATATATATCAATACAGGGTAGGTTACTAAAATGGTTATATAGTACAGTACTTGATAATAATTTGTATATTCTACGGATACTGTATTGAAATACATGTCAGCCTCTGAATTATATCACTATTCCAGTAAACGAATACAAAGTAGTAATCTCTGTTTGTTTGTGTGTATGTCAAATCAAAAACTCAGGAACTCCTTGACCGATTTGCCTCAAGTTTTGATTGGGGAACCCGGGAGAACCACATGAATGTTCTTAGCTTGGGCGGACTTTTTGAAGGGAAAATAGCTGATTTGAGACAAAGCGCGGGTAAACGGTGGGAGTTACCATGAGTAACGCTGGGTTCTCAAGCTAGTTAATTATATTTTACCTTGTAAATACTGTTGAATACTGGTTTCCTGTTTACTCTGGATCCAAGCTGAGATGATTGCAAGAACTGAAGAGGGTTAAAGAGACTGTTCTCTTCAAGTTTAGGCCGGGGTAGGGAGAGCAAACTCCGCTTTTCCAATCTCTACCAGATAAACAAATCATTTCAATATTAAAGGGAATGTTGACGTAAAGAGGGGATGTCCGATTTACAACAGTAACTTTCAACCTTTAATTGATCTACTATGAAAGATATTGTTTTTTTTTTTAAGTTTGACACGTGTTAAATGTTATTTTAACAAACCACAATTGAAAATAATCCATATTAAAATTCAATCTCAAATATATTCTTGATCATACAAAGATAAAAAAATTTCTGAATTGAAAGAATTTAATTGTTTCTTATAAACAAAACCAAAATTGAAAATGTTCAATTTTTTAGATAGAAACAAGGATATCGGCATCATTATCATTCTCTTACCATACATATATCCAGAAGATGGTTTGATCTGAGTTTAGGAAACTGGTTCTCAAGAAGAGATACTGTCTGTGCATGCTTTCTTCCTCTCCAATCCAGTCTAAAGGAAATACTAATATTAGTTGACGGGACTAGACGTTAAACATTATAATCCTCAATTCAAACACAACCATTTTCTCAACACTATTCAAACAATACTTTTAAGGGAGAAAAATCCGCGGAAAAAAATAATTTTAAGAAATTTGTTTAATGAAACAATTGGAAAGTCATAAGATTACGATAAAAATTAAAATTAGGAGGGGGGGGGGCGTTGGAGGTGAATAAAGAGTCAGACTAAGTTGAGTCAATTATATTCAAATCAAATCAAATCACAAAGGGCGGGGATGAAAATGGACTCCAGTAATGGATTGGAGGTTCAAGTTCTTTCCGTGTCCTGGTTTTCAGTCTGGACTTCTTCCTATTTTTAGAAAAAATCTCATCAAAAGTGTTTGTAAAGCGCGAAGTTCCTTGCCACACGACCAAATTTGAGCCATGCCTCACTTTTGGACCTCCGTCATACAAAATTTACCCTGTAATCGGGCAAAAATTGCATGGCTCCCCAGCGAGTATTTAGATTCAAGTGTATATTTTGAAAAAGATAAAACTAAGGAGCTTATTATTTAAAACTTGTATGATTAATAAAATTTGCAATTAATGTATGTCAATGAAATTAGTTTAAACAATATTTGAAGTAACAAGTCTAGTCTAGAAATAAGATTAGTTCATATCATATCATATCATATCATATCATATCATATCATATCATATCATATCATATCATACAGCTAGGGATGCGTCCAACAGCTCCTTGACCTACAAGGGGTATGCTATCACAATCCCCTATAGGTGAAGGCTTTTCAGCCTGACATAGTTTAAATCCTAACGTCGGACACACGACCAAATTTGAGCCATGTCACCTGTCCGATTCCTTTTGTCAGCTAGTTGCCAAACAGTTGTATTAAATACATATTTAAATGCTGACAGAGAGAATCTCCCTCCCGGTTAACTGAGTGTTTAAAAAGGGTATTCATGAGTTGAAACGAATAATTTTAAAATGAATTGATAAATAAGCTTATAATAAGTTATTGAGTTATAGAGAAGTGATTCATAAAATGAACCGACAAATAGATTATATGATAAATTATAAAGTTCTATAGATAGTGGGATTCATTATCGATTTATAGATAAGGGATTCATAAAATGAATCGACAAATAGATTATATGATAAATTTAAAATTATATAGAGAGTGGGATTCATTAGATGAATCGACAAAGAAATGATATGAAGGGATTCATAAAATGAATCGACTAAGAAATTATGTGAAGGGAAATTATGGTAATGAAGAACAAGTCTAGTAATATTAGAAATGATGATCAAGTATAAAATATATTGAAATTTTTTTTGGTGATTTAACCCTATTTAAACTTTCCCTGGTACAAAAGGTATATTTTAAACTCTGTCATGTTTGGTATCTTAAATTTTTGGTGATTTAACTCAGTAATAAATATTCAACTTAATCCGGTGCTTAAAAGAAGTGGTTTAAATTCGTCTACGTAGTTCAACTACTTCATTACCTGGGTGGAACAGCTTCCTGTTTGTTGAGTTCATCTTCTAATAGTTTAGCAGCCTCAGGACAAACCCCCTCCCGTAGGTACTAAATATAAAAATATGAATATATGTATATATGAATATATGTATATATAAATATATGAATATAAATATAAATATCATTAAAAAGGACTGTGAAAGTAAGTTTAACTGACCCTCCATGCAAAGATGTCCATTCCCAATTCACAACGGTAACATTGAAAGCTTTGTCTGATCAAATCCACTTGCAAAATTTTACTGCAGGAAAACATATCGGAATTATCATAAATAAAAAACTTAAAAAACCAACAATATCTCATATATTTTTGATCTAAACATTTCAAGGGTACCCAGGGGTGTATATTTTTAAGAATTACGGATTTAGGTGAAATAAATAGATAAACATATTGAGAACTTTTTTATAAAAAATGTAACAGATACAATAAAATATATCAACAATATGAAAAAATTGAAAAAATTCTTTCAACTCGCATAAAGTTAAGCGACATTGGTGTTAACATTTTCGATTTTTCAAAAGAGTTTAAAATCAACAACATAATATGGGAGAGAAAATCCGTATTCTAACTGTAAATATATATAAACAAAGACAAAAATATTCCTGATGGCATTAAATGCAGATAATATAATATTGCAAGCATGAGCTAAAGGTGGAAACTCCAGTAGTATCAGTGGGGGCTGGGTAGCCTCGGCCTAAAAAACATGAATATTTTAGTAAATTTTTTAAACAGTCGTCAGCCATGTGCAAAATCTTTGTAAACCTGAGATTTTTCCAGGGACGATAATTTTTTTTACAAAATTGATATTTTTGAAAATAAGAACGTTTTTTCTTGTTAACAAAAGTCCTTTGATAAATTAAATTTCAAATTATTTTTAAAAGACAACCCATCACTGATAGAAATCTTGTACCAATAAAAATATATTCATATATTTGATATTTTGCCCCTTAGATTCGGTTCCGCGGATCTGAATATTTTTACGGATCCGGATTCAGGAAGACAAAATGTCGCGGATCCGGATTCTGGAAGACAAAATGTCGCGGATCCGGACTCAGGAAAACAAAATGTCGCGGATCCGGATTCAGGAAGACAAAATGTCGCGGATCCGGACTCAGGAAGACAAAATGTCACGGATCCGGATTCAGGAAGACAAAATGTCGCGGATCCGGGATCAGGAAGACAAAATGTCGCGGATCCGGACTCAGGAAGACAAAATGTCGCGGATCCGGACTCAGGAAGACAAAATGTCGCGGATCCGGATTCAGGTAGACAAAATGTCGCGGATCCGACTGGGATCCTAAGCACTGCCGTAACCCGGACAATTCGAGGTGCTCATATTTGCAGTACGCAGAAATCTTAAGAGCTTAATTCTTAATAAATATTTAAAATTTAGGGGTTTATATTTTTCAGAGTTAATGAGAATTAATGCGAAATTATTTTAGATGATTTGGGCACAAATAAAACATTGGACATCAAAAGGCAACCTTTTTCTTTATTTTTGATACATTTGAACTGGAACAAAACACTAAATTAAAAAAATTGCAATCAATGTAGACTGCAGATATAACAAACCTCTGAGGAAAAAAATTATTTTCCGAAGAGGGGGGGGGAAAGAAAATGATTTTTCGAGAAATATACATCCCTGCACTAATTGATAATGAGGGTTTAAGAGAATGGTAACCTGTGGTTGAAAACTGAATTGCAGTCCACTAGCTTTAACCAGATTGAATCCAACAAAACTCTCCTGAACCACCTTAACAAAGAAGAGCTTATTTTTTTTTAAAGATCAATTTTTTTTAAATAGGAATGTTTGCTCATTTTTACAAAGAGCTCTAGGGGACAATTTTAAAAGATTTTTTTATCAAAAAAATGTTACCTTAACATTGTTGTCCCAGCAGATAAGCTTGTTAAACTGCGCTAAAATCCTTTTCTCGAAGATTGGAGCGAGCAAGGGTCTAAAGTCAAAGCCAACCCGGCTGAAGCTCAATCCAAAGTACATTGCCTGAAAACAAGGAGCTTTTAGAAAAAGCAACTTTTTGCCGTTTTTTTGTCATAATTTATTCATTCTAACTTTGTCAATATAATTGAAAATGGACATTATAGCTCTGAACAGCAGTAACTCAAAAATCTATCTATATATCTATATCTGTCCTTTTAAAGTATCTACCTGTCCCATGAGAGACTCCATGGATCCGATATCCTGCTCCAGGTCCATCTCTAGAGTACAGAGGAACTCCTCTATCTTCCTGCTTAACCAGGAGGAGAACAGCAACCTAAGATTGTAAATTCCAATATCAAGCATTTATTCGTCTCTTTGTCGTCCGAAGGATTGAATACATTTCTCGATGATATTCCGTGGTCGGAACCTAGCAAGGATAACAAATATTAAAGAATGATGCACTTATCTCTCTTGTTTCCAATCACAATGGATATAGAATTGATCGAGATAAAGCGTTGTGAGTTAGCTCTATCTCCCAACAAAAAAAACGATCTCCGGTTATCAAACAAATGAACAAGAAAAGTGGAAAAAGAAAAAATTAATTTAAGTCAAATTTGTAGCCCCCCCCCCCTCCCCTCCCACATTCCCTTGCACAACAAAATATTCTTTCCTAAATTCTAAAACCTTATGTAATATAAAAGACATAGCAAGAAATTAAAAATGGCTGATATAAATGGTAGATTAACCTGTTATCACACATGCTATTGTCAGCTTCTACGAAGAATGCATCGTCTGAGAATATGGCTCTGTACTGAGTAACTATATCGAATAAATGAACACGCATAACTTCCATCGTCCTTAACAGAGATTAATTGATATCAACGAATCATTGGAATTCATATCAAAGTTAAACGGACTGAAGATGTAGTTTCAAATGACTCTACAATATGAAGGGACATGTCTGATTCACAACAGTGCATTCGTCAAATTTTGAGTGAATGAGATATCCATATTCTTTTCATTGTAAATTAATTATTTTAATTTGTAGTTATTATGTAAAAGTGCATTCAGCTTCGGAAACAATTAAAGAAATTGTCAGAATATTCAAGCTAGGAACACGACGATATCTTCTACATTATTGATCAGATAAATGTTTAACGTGTGCTGTTGTAGATCATACTCTTTGAATAGAGGGTCTCATGATATTACGTATTCGGTCCCTGAAGGGATGACCTCTGTACCTGGTAATATGAAGATAAGGATCATCTCTGGCAACCGTATTCGTCACCGACTGTAACCAGGTTTCACGAGCCTTAATAGTATTGTCAGTATTCGCGGATTTATGTCATAAACTTGATCAATGATCATGAACATGGTGACTGTTGAAGTTCTGATCCCGAGGACCTAGTTATCATCATTTTTGAGTTCAAAGTTGAGTTCAAGTTCGAACTCATGGTCCAAGTCATAATCGAAGTCTTAGTCATGGTCATTGTCATGGTCAATGGTCATGGGCATAGTCAAGATAATAGTCATGATCATAAGCATGAGCAAAGAGCATTGTCATTAGCATCGTCACAATAATAGGAATGGTTAAGATTGTGGTTGCGTCGAGATCATGTGCATTTTAATGGTCAAGGTATGATCATGGTCATGGTCAAGGTCATGGTCATGGCAGAGGTCCTGTTCATGGTTTAAAAACTCTGTACCTGTAAGAACTTGAGTCGGAGTTCACTCTCTGTAAATATATCCATTCTCCGGAGATAACTGATCACCTTCAAGCACTGGGGCAGCTGGATGGGAGACCTAAAGACAGACATTATTATTTACGGACAAACATGCACTCGATAAAAAATAGGTCGACGCTGCGCTCCTTGCCTTCGAAACGCATCCATCCGTGGGCAACGCGGTCAGCTAATCCTTATGGAGAAAACTTACAACAGGCAATCTACGTGTGACAGCTCCATTTCTAGAAACTGTCTAAGTAGGAAATTACGACTTCAACGGTCTCTTGGAAAAAAATGGTTGCACACCAAGAATACATGCGTGACATTTGCACTAGGGCAAAAAGTTTCTAGTGGGTTTCTAATTTTTGGTTATTCATACGATTCTTTTATGAAAAGCAAGAAATCCTTGTAAAGTTACCTGAGCTGTGCTAACAACTGCTGGAGCATAAGCTTAACGCTATTGCTCACGTTCCTGGAAATATCTGCCAATATCTTCACCTCGGGCTGCTTCTTGGCCAACTTCGTCACGTAGGCGTGCAGTTCTAATCAGCAATAATAGTATGCAATAAATGGTATAAATAGCCTACAATGATACTACACTCAAAAGGGGCTTGTCAAATCAAATCAAGTTTAAATCTGAAAGGGAACCCAATGTGGAACCCCGAGATAAAATTGGTTTATTTTTAAAATTTATGATTATTTATTTTCTGGGAGTCTAAAAATATATATTTCTACACAAATGTGGTCACTTCAGTTTCTCGGTAAAGGTGGCAAAAAATATTTGTAAAAAAACAGGTTACGTACATGAACAAAAGAGGTTCTAAAAGGTATCAATTGACATGCCTTTATTCTTGCAATCCCTAGAAAAAACTATGACTACCTAATGCTTCGTCGTAATGTTGGTTCCTGACCACGGTATCCATGAGCTGGGGGAGCTCCAGTATCTCCAGCAGGGTCGTGTGCTTCGACAGGGTTAAACTAGTCAACCTCCTGGAACAATCAATTAATCAATCAACATTTTATAAATCCATCGAATGATAAACCTTTAGAATTAGTAAATTGCAAATCAATAAATTAATCACACACTGTTATTTCAGTCAAATCAAACATGTACGGCATGAGGAGTGATAAAACAATAACCAAACAAAAACATTCGACGAAATAAGCCCTATACCTGTGGGTTGAAATTTCACTCGCCTTGCTCTTGAAAATTTCACATTTTTCCAGAAACCCTGGAAAAGAAACTGTTGGTAAAATAAACTTCACCTTTTGACCAAATTTTAATCTAGCTCATGGAAGTCTTCATTATATTTTAAATACATTAATTAGATTAACTAAAGCTTATCATAAGAACGTTAAATTAGCCTAGATTGCCTAGAATAGTTTATTTTAATACATCCCGTCATATTGGCTGAATTTTAATTAATGGTTTCCAAACCATTTAGATATTCAAAAAGTTGGAAATTCGCCAAAACATCAGGAAAATCCACGAAATTATTCCCCGTTGTTATTACTATATAGGAAGAAAGTCTGACAAAATACAGATGTATCAGCAACAAATAACTAAACTCTTCAGCAAAGAGAGAGTCCCAGGGGGGGGGGGGGCAAAGCACCATGTAGTTTTCTAAATTCCGAACCCCGAGCAGTTGTTCTAACCTGGCATTTTCTCCACCAGGTTCTCTAGGTGGTTCTCCGTATTCCCGAACTCCGAGTAGATCTGCTTTGAGCAGTCAGATGTCTGGATAAACGTCTTGTAGTTAGAGAACGCTAGCTCTTGGGTCTGCATCTAAACATTAAACATGTGTAAACAAACAACAAACACCAACATGTTTGAAAATACAAACAAACAAACAAACACCAACATGTTTGAAAATACAAACAAACAAAGAAACACCAACATGTATGAAATACAAACAAACAAACACCATGTTTTAAATACAAACAAAGAAACACCAAAGATGTTTGAAAATACAAACAAACAAAAATTAACACTGTTTCAACCAATTAACATGCTAAAGCAAACTAATATAATAAGTATATTTTGTCCACCTGAACTGTAGAAAGTTCATCTTTAACTCTCTCAGGTTCTATAGTTAATCTATCCGCACCTAGTAAAAATTAAACTTTATTTTTATCGCCCATTTTGTTCTTCTGAGTGAAAATGTTCTAACCTGTTTTAAAATGTTTTAAAAAAAGAATTCAGTGTAAAACAAGGAATGGTCTAAAAAATGTCCTTTTTCTTAACGATACAGTAAAAACTCCTTGTATTACCTAGTGTTCCTAGTTCTGTTAGATACAGGATTAACTCCTTGTATTACCTAGTGTTCCTAGTTCTGTTAGATACAGGATAAACTCCTTGTATTACCTAGTGTTCCTAGTTCTGTTAGATACAGGATAAACTCCTTGTATTACCTAGTGTTCCTAGTTCTGTTAGATACAGGATAAACTCCTTGTATTACCTAGTGTTCCTAGTTCTGTTAGATACAGGATGAACTCCTTGTATTACCTAGTGTTCCTAGTTCTGTTAGATACAGGATGAACTCCTTGTTGTCCCTCCACCCATCTGGAGCCTCCTCCCCAAAAATTAACTTCACCACCTCCTCCTGCTCAACACTATCCATTTTTTCTTAAAAATATAAATTTTTTTAATACGAGTTTTAGTTTTGGTATATTTTGAGTTTTTCCACATTGGATAAAGTGGCAAAAATAGCTTGAATAGTCGGTTTATTGTGCAAAAACTATTTTGCTATTTAAATAGTAAGCTCGAGTGTAAGAATAAAAAAATGAATATGTACAACCCAGTCATTGAGGTATCCATAATATGTGTACAAAACAAAGATAAAAGTGAAGATTATTAAGATTAAAAAAGGGGCTTTACAAAATAAATATTTACTGTAAACACCGAACTTTATATTTATAAAAAGTTCACTTTTTTATTTAACAGCTATTTGTCAGTAAAAAAAACGTGGATAAAGTTTTCGACTTGGAAAATGAGAAAACAAAAAATTTCCGAGTAGAAATGATTTTGAAAACAACCTTTCCACTAAAATAGTGATGTAATTCACAAAAATAAATTGTCTTTCATTTAGTATTCAGCCTAACTTTGTGTAAATATTACAATGTCTGGAGGTAATATTTTAAGACTATCACGAAAATGCACAAATGTTTCAGGACAGAACTGAAGAGCAGTGTATGCATAGATTAATAACAATACAGATATAACACTTAATGTCGTCTTTTCAAAATTTAATGGTTTATCGTTCAGATATAACCCCGAGGCAAAAGCCCGAATGAGTTACGCGTATGCCGCGTTAAATTACAAGACAGAGAGAGAGCATGCAAGAAAGGGTCCTGCCTCAGTTTATTGTGATCGATAAATCCCTAAATCTTGAAAAGACGAGATCTAGTGTTTTATCTATATTGTTGTAAATCTATGAATGTATTAAATACAGTAAATGATATTACGATTGCAAGATTTATCACAATTAGTATAAATCACAAAAATGACTAGATATGGTTGGACAAGCATGTGTCATGACATATAAACAAAATACAATCTTTTGATATTTTCTGTTGTTATTGTTTACAGTACAGTTTACAGTGCTGCACTTTATAGTGAGTTTTGCACCAACAGTGGCAAGCTGTACACTGTAAAGTGCATACATACATTGTACTGTAATTGTACTGTACTGCATAAAAGATGCAAAGTGTCAAAGTTGAAATTTGTTTAAAACAGATTCAAATAAATGTTTAGGTCTTTCTTTAAAAAGATTCAAGTTTTTCTGTGGGTTCAAAAATAATTACTTTGTTCAGTGTACTTACAAAGTATTCTTTTAATTAAGGATGTATGTCAATTGTGCGTCCTCGTGTGAACATTCATCCCAAAAAGTTCAGTATAGTTTGTTTGTAAACTAAGGTATGTACTATGTAGGTTTCCTTGTATATATATATATATATTCCATGCATCTATCTCTCTGTATCCCTCTGTATTTGTTCCCTAGCCTCCTGTTTCTCTGCTATGGAATAGTTAGTGCTAAGATGAGAACTGAAATCCTCCATAATTCTCTCAGGATTCCGCCTCGTGTACTCTTCCGCTTCTAAACATTAAATTTAATTATAAACGTTAAATTTTATTAATAATTGAGTCAATTTTTTCCACAATTTAAATGTTTAATCTGAGTTTGTCGGCTGATTTATGTATTTACCTTGTAGAACAAATCCGCAGTTTGATATTGTTTTGTTTTGTGTTTTCCAGACATGGTAAATATTGTACAGTACTGCACAGTATAGATAGTTCGTACGCAGCCATACATCCTGATCTAAACATGAAAATATTGTACAGTACTACACAGTAAAGATAGTTCGTACGCAGCCATACATCCTGATTTAAACATGGTAATATTGTAAAGTACAGAACAGATAATCCAACCGTAGCCCCACAGTTTAAACTATAAATAGAAATATCCTACAGTACTGCACAACAGAAATGTTCTTACATTTAAAATGCGTTACGTTATGATGTTTTCCTAGAATTTCTTCTAACCTCCCCCCCCCCTCTTCCATCCTTCCAATTTCAATCCTTTACCCTTTCCCCTTTATCACTCGCCCTTCATACTTCCCCTGCTGCCGCTTAAATGTAGCCCTAACGAAAAGGGTAAAAGTTAAGCTAAATAAATGTCCATTCTTGCACTTCCTTTTAATGCTTCACAACCTTCCACTTACGGGAGGTGAGGGGAGGGGGGACCTGATTTAAGTTATTAAATTTTCATCTTTGGTTACAGAAAAAATGTAAAAACGCATGTTTAATAAACCATTTTTTAAAATTTTGATTGTTACCTTTCAAACAATACTTGTCGATTAAACCGTCCCGCAAAATATGTAAACAGATTCGGGTCACGTTCAAGCTTAGAACCATTAGAGGGAACTCCTGACAACATCAATCAATTAATCATTTCATAGCTCAATCACTCAATCAATCAAAACAGAATTAGCACCAAAACAATGAAATGAATATAAACTTAAACTCCAAAGATAATTCGTTTAAATTTTGAATTGTCATTATACCAAAAATTTAAATAAATTATCTTTTATGTAGAAAACCAGGTGAAAGTTAAAAAAATTATTTTCTTTTTATAAAATCGAATAAATAAACCTGTCAATTATAATTTAAACTTATCTCCAAGAAACTGAATTCAATCAATCATTCAATCATTCAATCATTCAATCATTCAATCAATAAATCAATAAATCAATAAATCAATAAATCAATAAATCAATAAATCAATAAATCAATAAATCAATAAATCAATAAATCAATAAATCAATAATTCAATGAATCAATGAATGAATAAATTAATAAATTTATGAATCAATGAATCAATGAATTAGGTTGAATTAGGTTTGAGATCCATGGGCGCTCGTAGAAAGCGTTTTGATCTACTTTTTTTTAATCGATCAATCAATCCATATTTTTATGAAAAATTTATGATTACCTGTGATGGTTTCAAAGAAAGGCGATAAACTTCTCGAGCAAACGGAAGTATTTCTGGAGTACTCACAAGATACAACCCCTAAAAAATAAACATATTAATATTGTTTAATTTATACATTAATTAAAATACATTGTCTTACATCACAGAAGAATTTAGTTATAAACCCTTGTGGAATTTAAAAAGATCGAACCATCATAAAATATCTATAGTTTTATTTTTACTCTATCTTATACTAAAAAGGTTTAGTTTTTTACCTGAACTATACCGAGTATCCCTACTCCCCGTAGATCTGTAGACGGATCATTTCCCTAAAGAAATAGTTTACATTTTTCACAAATTTCCAAGATTTTTTGTTTTCTTTAAAACTTTGTTCAAAATGAAAATTTTTACAAATCAAAAAGTTGTATTATTTGAACAGTTTCTATTAAAGTATTTCCGGAAATCACTTATTAGTAATTATTCTTTCCAGCTCATACAAGATTTTTAATTATAATATACCTGGAAACCTATATCTTCCCAGTGATGACCATATCTAGCACAGTTGACCTTAGCGCCTGTCAACTGTCTGTATATACTCCTGATACAAATTTTGAAAAATTTATGTTTTTTAATTCTAATATTTACACCTTAAATTCCGAAAAATCTGCATT